TATTGTGTTTTCTGCACCAAATGTATTGCCACACATCCTTTGAATATTGTAGTAACCGCGACTTTGCATTTTGTAACGTATAATTGTACATGAAATTATTTAAATATGCCTACCGACAATGGCTGAATAAAAGTACTATCAGCTCATCCGGTGATGCGGCCGTCAAATAGTCTGTTTCAATCAGAGGGGGTCTATTGTGACCAATCAGAATCGAGTAATTTCCAAATTCATGGTAGAATACACACTAATTTCGAGTAAAAAGCACATTGTGAATACATTGAGAGGTGTATGTGTTTCAACAGGCAAGAGTATCACACGTAGACACAGGTGGCCCAGTGGTCTAAGGCGCCGCGATTCGCTGTGCAGAGTTGCGTCCCTTAGGCACGCCAGAAACCTATGATTGTGGGTTCGAATCCCGGTTCGCCCCGATTATGTTTCTAGGTTTGTCAGCACCATACCGTGCTCGTGGGTTTCACCGAAGTGGTAAACGTCTGAGACCTGCATCACTTCGGGCTTTCCTCCCACATTAAGCTGACACGCCGTGATATAACTGGAATACTGTTAAAAGTGGCGTTAAACCCAACTCACTCACTCACTCAGGTTATATTTCATTATAGTTGGTTTATGCCATCATTGCATGACATGTTACAATGAAGATATGCTACACTAGATACGCATAATGTATTCTATAAATATAGTTCACAAACATTGACATGCATGGTGTCAATGCCGGTATGTCTCTGACGGTTCTCACAGTTAACGCTCCTTCTCAAGTAGTGCATCTCCAACACAATAAACCTGACCTGCCTGTCTTGCTGTCTATACATGTCATACCACCATTACTCTAATAACTGCAACCCCGGGCGTGGCAAGAAATCATTATGTGATGCACATAACTTCAGCAAATTATATATAGATAGATAGATAGCTAGATAGCTAGCTAGCTAGCTAGATAGATAGATAGATAGATAGATAGATAGATAGATAGATAGATACGATAATGTTTAGTTTAGTAATCAGTTCTAACTGAACATGGTTCAAGTTTTTTATACGTAGCTAACACTTGGTGAGCGCAGGTCAGTACTGTTTTTTACAGCTGTCCTCAACCTTTATCCCTTAAATAAACGCAAGTTAAAACAACAAGAAATTTCAAATTGCACTGCGATTCGCCTTCCTGCGATTAACTAAAACTAAATAGTCGCCTGCATGGGAAGAGTGAGTGAGTGAGTGAGTATGGTTTTAGGCCGCTTTTAGCAATATTCAAGCAATATCACGGCGGGGGACACCAGAAATGGCCTTCACACATTGTACCCATGTCGGGAATCGAACCCGGGTCTTCGGCGTGACGAGCGAACGAACGCTTCCACCACTAGGCTACCCGACTACCCCGTGCATGGGAAGACCCCAAATTGACAATGTGTACCGTATTTCCTCTATTAGACACAGGGTATCCAATACACGCCGAGTCATATGCTCTGCCCCCGAAAGAGAAGCCGCTCCTGTTTTAGAAATTAAATTAATGAATGCCAATTGAAAGATAACAGTTTCCTATTTTATGCTGTGACGTGTTGGTGATTACTAATGACCATTTCTTGCAATTGTACCATCTGTATGGCTGTAGAGTTGGGATTCCGTCAGATAAGGAGTTGTCACTAAGCCAGCAATAAACAGAATAGACGCCGGCGAAAGGCGAAATTTATGGGAAAAAAACATTCGGCGCCTAGTTGAGGAAATACGGTATTTCTCATTCACTTAAACCATAAGGCAAATCGAACTATTTATATTTCAGTTTATGTTGTTTAACTGTTGCCGCTAATTTGATCAAAGTATATATCACTTGTTGTAAAGATTCATTAAATACAATGGGACCTGAAGATTCGGGTTGAGAATAAGTCTTCAGCAACCCATGCTTGCCGTAATAGGCGACTATGCGTGTTGTAAGAGGCGACTGACGGGATCAATGGTCAGGCTCGCTGATTTGGTTGATGCCAGACTCGATTATTTACCGACCGCTGTCACATTGATGGAATATTGCCGAGAGCGGCGTTAAACAAACAAACAAACATGACAAAAATACATTTGCGGTACATGATACATGATACATGGGCGGTGATGGTAGAGTTGACATATATCGACACAACAAAAGATTTTTAGGTAGCACATATTACCAAACGTACTATACACGGTGTATGCAATATATTACAAAGAGGCGTTAGCGGTTCTAGTTATGACACATATTAACTGAGATTAGTCCAAGAGGCGCATAAACTGACCACCTACCTCTACCTGACATCCTGACGCTCGGCTCAGTGTCGATCTGAGTCGATGATTGCCGATCCCCAGGCAGATGACGTCAGCTGTATGGCGTGGAGCTATTTTTAGCATACTGGGGATTCCCAGCTCTTTTCTGGATGGGAACAAATTCACGCGAGAGGTTCGCGTGTGTCTTTATTCTGTGAAATGGGACAATGCACGATGCTGAATTAATTGCTGTCACCGGCTTGGGCTCAAGATGATTCACAAGTTATTTTTTACCACTTGTTTGAGATTATCTAGTTTCTTTATCCAAATATCGAGTTATACATGTATGCACATTCAGTTTCTGTAGGTCTGTGTTTCAGGGTGTGAGGAATAATTGAACCACGGGATCTTGTTATCTTGAGTGAGTGAGTGAGTGAGTATGGTTTTACGCCGCTTTTAGCAATATTCCAGCAATATCACGGCTGGGGACACCAGAAATGGCCTTCACACATTGTACCCATGTCAGGAATCGAACCCGGGTCCTCGGTGTGACGAGTGAACGCTTTCACCACTAGGCTTCCCGACCGCCCCTTATTATCCTGAAAGTAACCACATGTCATTTTGTGATATTAAATCTCAAATTGGTAAAACTGTTTTATAATTCTATTTTTTCTAAAGCCTGTATATGATTGTTGCAAAATGTATAGAACATATATATATATATATATATATATATATACCATACCATACCCAAATCATGGCCTGGCTGTCCTGGTGTAGCACCATACCCGAAACGTTGCCTGGCCATCCTAGTTTAGCAGCATACCCAAATCATGGTCTGGCAACCCTGGTCTGATCCGATCCATGACCTGACTGTCCTGGTGTAGCACCATATCCGATCCATGGCCTGGCTGTCCTGGTGTAGCACCATACCTGATCCATGACCTGGCTGTCCTGGTGTAGCACCATATCCGATCCATGGCCTGGCTGTCCTAGTGTAGCACCATACCCGATCCATGGCCTGGCTGTCCTGGTGTAGCACCATACCCGATCCATGGCCTGGCTGTCCTGGTGTAGCACCATATCTGATCCATGACCTGGCTGTCCTGGTGTAGCACCATACCCAAATCATGGCCTGGCTGTCCTAGTGTAGCACCATACCCAAATCATGGCCTGGCTGCCCTGATATAGCACCGAACCCAAATCATGGCCTGGCTGTCCTAGTGTAGCACCATACCCAAATCACGGCCTGGCTGTCCTGGTGTAGCACCATACCCTAAACGTTTCCTGACTGTCCTGGTGTAGCACCATACCCAAATCATGGCCTGGCTGCCCTGGTGTAGCACCATACCCTTAACGTTTCCTGGCTGTCCTGGTGTAGCACCATACCCTAAACGTTTCCTGTCTGCCCCGATATAGCACCATACCCAAATCATGGCCTGGCTGTCCTAGTGTAGCACCATACCCAAATCATGGCCTGGCTGCCCTGATATAGCACCGAACCCAAATCATGGCCTGGCTGTCCTAGTGTAGCACCATACCCAAATCACGGCCTGGCTGTCCTTGTTGAGCACCATACCCTAAACGTTTCCTGACTGTCCTGGTGTAGCACCATACCCAAATCATGGCCTGGCTGCCCTGGTGTAGCACCATACCCTAAACGTTTCCTGGCTGTCCTGGTGTAGCACCATACCCTAAACGTTTCCTGTCTGCCCTGATATAGCACCATACCCAAATCATGGCCTGGCTGTCCTAGTGTAGCACCATACCCAAATCATGGCCTGGCTGTCCTGGTGTAGCACCATACCTAAACCATGGCCTGGCTGTCCTAGTATAGCACCATACCCGATCCATGGCCTGGCTGTCCTAGTATAACACCATACCCGATCCATGGCCTGGCTGTCCTTGTGTAGCACCATACCCAAATCATGTCCTGGCTGTCCTGGTGTGTAATTATCCCTAAACCCTTGCCGCGTTTTTGAACCGCGTTTTTGAACCGCGTTTCTCACATAAAACTGTGTATATCATGCCTTCAAACATGCCCACCGACAACGAATGAGAAAGAATTCTTGAACGTTTCATTAAATATCAGCCTCGGCGGTGATGCATTGTCAAACCAGCTGTGTCAATCAAAGATAGTTACTGTAAATCTCCGATTAACCAATCAGAATCAAGTACATGTATTTTTCCAAATTCATGGTGGAAAATCGATAAAAGTAATCTGTAAGTAAAAACAACTCCGCACGTTCCCTCCGCGCAGTCATAATTAAAATTACTAATGAACATCCGCTGATGGTGAGTTGGAATCCCAGATTTGACTCTGTTATCATACAGCACAGCATGCCCGTGAGTGAGTGAGTTGTGAACGCCGCTTTTAACATTATTCCAGTCATATCACGGCGTAAAGCCCGAAGTGATGCAGGTCTCAGACGTTTACCACTTCGGTGAAACCCACGAGTACGGGTATGGTGCTGACAAACCTAGAAACATAATCGGGGCGAACCGGGATTCGAACCCTCAATCATAGGTTTCTGGCATGCCCAAGGGACGCAACTATGCACAGCGAATTGCGGCGTCTTAGACGACTGGGCCATCGGTGCCCCCAACATGCTCGTGTGTTTCACTAAAGTGGTATCAGTCTTGACGTAAAACCTGAACCAAACTAATTTACTCACCGAATACCGACTGTAATATAATAACATCCACATCTTCAATTTATGTTCACGTGTCCTGATACAAAAATACATGACACAAAAATATTCAATTTTGATCATTTATTGCTTTAAGCAGAGTAGGATGTGCCATGCAGAGTTTTGTCTTGAATTTCAATTTGTCCGACGGCAACTTTATGCTATCAACTCTTATGCTTATGCACGCACAACGAGGTCGAATATGTCTACACAGCGGTGCCATGTTTTGACATTTACATTGCTAAGGGGATGAAAGTCTTCGGAAAGCCGCTGTCTCAGCTGAATGGATGGAAATTTAAGCAGGTTTTTGAACTGGAGCTAAAAGAAAGAAAAACATTTTTACATTCATGGAAAAAACATCAAACATATAGATTTTTCGTAATGCAAGGTCGTGATAGTTATATGACTGATAGGGAAAAATTCACATACGTTTTGGGCGTGGTTTATCTGAGCGTGGTTTAGGGCAAGGAAGAGGGGGTGGTATCGGGTTTCCTCGTTCAGGTATATTTCCATGTTGTCCTGCAACAGAAAACCCTTGTATGCTTGGGTGGCCAAGTTCATATATAACTTATGCGGTAAAGCATTCCTCTGTATTACTTTATGAAAACTGTAGGTCAGCGCTGAAATTTATTTTTGTAAATTTGAAAAAAACGACAGAACGCGTGAAATCATTATTACACACGTTCTCGCTTACTTTTAAAATATGCCACATATTTTATGTATTATGGATTGAGAAATCTCATCTTGAAAATATATATTACTTTGTGGCCTATTGGCCCACTCGCAGGGGGAACCACCCGTGACGTTGGGGCTACAAGTTTCATCTTCTGACCGCACAAGAAGAGTTTTACGTTTTATTTGAATCAAGTTTCCCTACAGATTTGTTACCTGCTGGAGAAAAAATATCCTATCAGGTCAATATTTAAAAAAGTCATGGGACCCGTGAAGATCCGGGGTAAAAAAGATCTTCCGCAACCCATGCTTGTTGTAAAAGGCGACTACGCTTGTCGTAGGAGGCGACTATATAACGCTGACTCGCTGACTTCTTTGATGCATGTCATCGTATCCCAGTTGCGTGGATCGATGCTCATGCTGTCAATCACTGGATTGTCTTATGCAGCATATTATTATTAAACAACCGCCATACAGCTGAATGAGGTACAATAAACTAGTGCTAAGCATAGCGGAGTTATGCCCCCTTTTCCTTGTACGTGTGTAACCTCTCTGTCGCCTTTTGACGTCATATATAGAGAAAAATCAGTTTTCGTCATTTACGGCATGCTATGTTTGGCATTGAACATATGTCGTTATACATACGCCTATAACTCTATTTGATATATAGTTATGTCGTTCGGATATTAGGCAGTATTTTGTTCGCTGACAGTTTCCATAAAGCTTTGAAATAAACAAAATCGTCGCACAGTACTTCTATCGGTGTACGATAAAAAGCGGAGAAATTTACTGTTTTTCAACGCAGAATAAATTCTTGGACAACACTTAGAAGTGTATTTTTTAAAACCGGTTTAATATTCGCAGTTTACTTTACACCATCAAATAGGAAATTTAATATTCTCCACCTCTGCGTAATTTTATAGCCAGGGGAATATCCAGCACCGCGTGAGCGCAATTCTCGCACAACCTTCACTTTTCCGATCTTAGGAAAATGTGCGTCAGAAAAAAAACCTCGGCATCCAGAGGTTTTAAACAACAAACAAACAAAAATAAGTCATGGGAGCCTGTAACTTGCAAAAACAGTGTAGCTTTGCTCGGGTCATGTGTTATAAATGGGTCAGGTCTCTTATATCCGACTCCAGTCATGCCGTACATGCGAGAGCCGCATGTGGTGACGAATGCGGTAGCCCGTTCGCTTCGTGTTTCAACGGTAGCTAGCTGACATGTTGTGCGCATGCGCTAGATTTCTATAGTCTGTTTCTGCATGGGCTTTCTACTTGTTGATGTTCTCTTCGGTGCCTTCGACATCGGTATAGTCCATTTCGGAAAACATACAGTTTCGCGCGCTTGCATGGGGGATGGATGCATCAAGCTGCCTGTAGAACGTATTGCATTGACACAAATATTTATGCATTCAGGTCCGGGCTAGTGGTTCTAGTTATTACATATATTAACTGAGACGGGTCCACCTGATAAACCGACCACTTACCTCTACCAGACATCCTGACGTTCAGTTCAGCCCAGTCTCGCCAGAACTGTCGTGTTGATAAGGGCCGACTGAAGCCGATTTCCGGGGATGGTGCGGTCCATTCGTGACCAACTCGTGTTATTCCGGGAAATCTTTTTGCCTGCACGGAAAGTGGCGAGTGATGACGAATGGGTGCGGGACTATTTTTAGCATACTGGGGATTTCCTGCTTTTTTAAAATGGGTTCACATTTGAGCGAGCTATGTCAGTGTCTTTATTAGTTAAATGGGAGATATACCCTGACGGGGAAACATACGCGGGTCAGAAAAATAATGGATTGTTTAAACAATAGGGTGACGTCACAGATGTTTTAATCCCTATTTATGTTATCAAAAATAATATTTATTGATATCACTGATTTTCAGATAACAATAAAGAAAATGAATACCTTGCCATTAATAAATATATTTAGTGTATGTTTGTTTGTTCGTTGTTTAACGCCGCACTCAGCAATAACCCAGTTTTATGACGGCGGTCTGTAAATAATCGAGTATGGACCAGACAATCTAGTGATTGGCATCATGAGCTTCGATCCGCGTAATTGGATTTCGCTGACATGCATCAACCAAGTCAGCGAGCCTGACCACCCTACCCCGTTAGTCGCCTCTTACGACAAGCATAGTCGCCTTTTACGGCAAGCATGGGTTGCTGAAGACCTATTCTACCCCGGATCTTCACGAACAACCGTTTCTCCCCCGAGACCAGGGCGGAAATTGGTAGATATGCGAAGGAGAATGGCAACACTCGTGCGGCCAAATATTTCAGCAGCTTGCTTAATGTTGACCTTGGAGAGAGTTCTGTGAGGGTGATGAAAAAGGCGTACTTGTCTGCGAAGAAAGAAGACAAAACTGCTGATATCAAAGGACTGGTGCATCAGAGTGAGTGAGTGAGTGAGTGAGTGAGTGAGTGAGTGAGTGAGTGAGTGAGTGAGTGAGTGAGTGAGTGAGTGAGTGAGTGAGTGAGTGAGTGAGTGAGTGAGTGAGTGAGTGAGTGAGTGAGTGAGTGAGTGAGTGAGTGAGTGAGTGAGTGAGTGAGTGAGTGAGTGAGTGAGTGAGTGAGTGAGTGAGTGAGTGAGTGAGTGAGTGAGTGAGTGAGTGAGTGAGTGAGTGAGTGAGTGAGTGAGTGAGTGAGTGAGTGAGTGAGTGAGTGAGTGAGTGAGTGAGTGAGTGAGTGAGTGAGTGAGTGAGTGAGTGAGTGAGTGAGTGAGTGAGTGAGTGAGTGAGTGAGTGAGTGAGTGAGTGAGTGAGTGAGTGAGTGAGTGAGTGAGGTTTTACGCCGCTTTTAACAATATTCCAGCAATATCACGGCGGGGGACACCAGAAATGGGCTTCACACATTGTACCCATGTCGGGAATCGAACCCGGGTCTTCGGCGTGACGAGCGAACGCTTTAACCACTAGGCTACCCGACAGCCCCTGCCGCATCAGAAAATAAGGCGACCTTTGATGCTTGGTGAACTTGATGACCTGTTGAAGGATCACGGGATTGCTATTCGCGATGCTGGGGGTATGACCAATAGAAACATTGTCTTGGGAACTCCTCGAGGCATCGTTTTGCATGAAAACAGGTCGCTTCTCTCTGAAAACGATGGAACAATTTCTCTGACAAAGGCTTGGGCCGATTCATTCCTGATTCGACTTGGTTTCCTGGAGCATAAAAGAACGAAAACAGACATGTGTCATCTGACCTTGATCATGAAAAGCAAGAGTTCATTCGTTCATTGGGTCTACGGAGTGTTCTGTAAGCAGCTGCCTATGTGGCGGGTTTGTGGACTATTATGGACATTGATTAACAATGTGTAGTTAAGGAAACAGGATGTGAGAGATTATCTATTTAATAACATACTTGTTGCTTTGACAATGTGTGAAATAAAAGAAGTTAGACTCCTTGCGTCTTTTGTTTGTAAATATGTTGTTTGTCTGCCAACAGAATAGCGTGATACCATTGCGAGTGTGTCACTGGCAGGTTTCGCTGTATACTTTCCCAGTTTTACAGTTTTCAAACACGTCAATTGACAAGCATCTTCCCGAGGCAAGTGATTTAACTGACTATAAAAGTCCAGTTTCCACCCTTGCCGAACTAGGCTGGTATTATGGAGTAACATTTTGGCTGGACTAACGAGTCTATGCATAGTCCAATCAAAATCGCGCACCGAAATCGAAATCCGGTTCGTAAAGTGTCATGCAGATTTCGATCGACTACAGCATTTGCAAAACATTTGTACCGCTAACTCGTTGTCAACAGATATTTTCTAAATCTATTCATGTTTTTATCAAGGTGCTCACGTGATTTGATGCATTTCGCGATGTAAGACTCGTTTATCACAATATAGATCTTGATTATCGATCAGATCGTCTTGACTGGTCGCCACCGTTTTGTTTGAATCAAATGCAAGTGATACGAGAGGTTGAATCTGATTGGTCAGTAGGAGAGGCATAGAAAGGACATAACTCGCTATAGCCACTGGTGGCGCTACGATCGAGCCCAGGATTTCCAGCCTAGTTCGGCAAGGGTGGAAACTTGACTTTTAAAGTCAGTTAACTCTCTTGCCTCGGGAAGATGGTCTAACGAGTCTGTGAGTCCAATGAAAATCACCTAACGAAATCGACATCCGGTTCGTAAAATGCCGCGCAGATTTCGATAGATTGCAGTGTACTGCCAACTCAGCATCTACAGATATTTTCCAAATCATTTCATGATTTTAGTCAAGGTGCTCAAGTGATTTGATGGACTTTGCGAAGTAAGACCAATTTTATTACAACTGATTATCGATCAGATCGTCCGGGCTGGGAACCGCCATTTTGTTGGGAGCACACTCGAGTACTATGAGGAGTGGAATCTGAATGTTCAATAGGAGGGTGAGTGAGTGAGTGAGTTCGGTTTAACGCCGCTTTTAACAGTATTCCGGTTATATCGCGGTGTGTCAGCTTAATGTGGGAGGAAAGCCCGAAGTGATGCAGGTCTCAGACGTTTACCACTTCGGTGAAACCCACGACCACGGGTATGGTGCTGATAAACCTAGAAACATAATCGAGGCGAACCGGGATTCGAACCCACAATCATAGGTTTCTGACGTGCCCAAGGGACGCAACTCTGCACAGCGAATCGCGTCGCCTTTGACTACTGGGCCACCCGTGCCCCCTCAATAGGAGGGACATTGAAAGGACAACTTGTATTAGCCACTGGTGGCGCTGGGATCAAGCCCAGGTATTCCAGCCAAGTTCGGTAAGCGTGGAAACTGGTCTTTTACAGTCAGTTAACTCGCTTGCCTTGTCTAGATGGATAAGTCTTTAGTCCACCGTGACAAACAGAAAGTCCGGGCGGAACTTCTCATTCGCGTCTTTTTTGACGATTCTATCCACTTTCAAACTGTTCCACATCACTAGTCTTTACCTATGGTATGGTACCTTAAATGTGTGATATATCAAATAAAAATAGACTAAACAAAGAACGTGTGAAATATGTAATGTAGTGTGTGTTGTTTTATTTGACACAGCAAACGTTTTTTTTAGGAACATCAGAGCCATTACCATTTCACGTCAACGACATTCATTCAAGTTTGCAGAACAAATATTCAGGAACATTTATGAGAACAATCATTCTCGCTGCACCCTGTACTCGATAGAAATGTCCACTATAAATGTGTAATTAATATGTACATCACATCAAAACAATGGCCTGACTGTCCTGGTGTAGCATCATGTCCGAACCATGACCTGCTTGTATTGGCGTAGCAAACCTGAATCACGGCCTGGCTGTCCTGGTGTAGCATTATGCCCGAATCACGACCTGCTTGTATTGGTGTAGCAAACCCGAATCACGACCTGGCTGTCCTGGTGTAGCATTATGTCCGAATCACGACCTGTCTGTTCTGGTGTAGCAAACCTGAATCACAACCTGGCTGTCCTGGTGTAGCATTATGTCCGAATCACGACCTGTCTGTCCTGGTGTAGCAAACCTGAATCACGGCCTGGCTGTCCTGGTGTAGCATTATGCCCGAATCACGACCTGCTTGTATTGGTGTAGCAAACCCGAATCACAACCTGGCTGTCCTGGTGTAGCATTATGTCCGAATCACGGCCTGTCTGTTCTGGTGTAGCAAACCTGAATCACGGCCTGGCTGTCCTGGTGTAGCATTATGTCCGAATAACGACCTGTCTGTTCTGGTGTAGTAAACCCTGGATCACGGCCTGCCCGTATCACGACCTGTCTGTCCTGGTGTAGCAAACCTGAATCACGGCCTGTCTGTTCTGGTGTAGCAAACCTGAATCACGGCCTGGCTGTCCTGGTGTAGCAAACCTGAATCACGGCCTGTCTGTTCTGGTGTAGCAAACCCGAATCATGACCTGTCTGTTCTGGTGTAGAAAACCTGAATCACGACCTGTCTGTCCTGGTGTAGCAAACACGAATCACGACCTGTCTGTCCTGGTGTAGCAAACCTGAATCACGGCCTGTCTGTCGTGGTGTAGCAAATCTGAATCACGGCCTGTCTGTCCTGGTGTAGCAAACCTGAATCACGGCCTGTCTGTCCTGGTGTAGCAAATCTGAATCACGGCCTGTCTGTCCTGGTGTAGCAAACCTGAATCACGGCCTGGCTGTCCTGGTGTAGCATTATGCCCGAATCACGACCTGCTTGTATTGGTGTAGCAAACCCGAATCACAACCTGGCTGTCCTGGTGTAGCAAATCTGAATCACGGCCTGTCTGTCCTGGTGTAGCAAACCTGAATCACGGCCTGGCTGTCCTGGTGTAGCATTATGCCCGAATCACGACCTGCTTGTATTGGTGTAGCAAACCCGAATCACAACCTGGCTGTCCTGGTGTAGCATTATGTCCGAATCACGACCTGTCTGTTCTGGTGTAAACCCTGGATCACGGCCTGCCCGTATCACGGCCTGTCTGTTCTGGTGTATCAAACCTGAATCACGGCCTGGCTGTCCTGGTGTAGCATTATGTCCGAATAACGACCTGTCTGTTCTGGTGTAGTAAACCCTGGATCACGGCCTGCCCGTATCACGACCTGTCTGTCCTGGTGTAGCAAACCTGAATCACGGCCTGTCTGTTCTGGTGTAGCAAACCCGAATCATGACCTGTCTGTTCTGGTGTAGC